AAAATCGGGATGGGGCAGTGGGTAATAAGCGCCTATACAAGACAAAGCCCCAAATATCGGGACTGGCCCTATAAAATCGTACATCTGGTCACCCTAGGTCTGGGAAACATACTCAGAACGTCACAGGTAAATACAAGGTGGAAAAGATTGTTCAGCATAAGTAGTTAACACCTATTTCAATGGACTATTCAAGATTAAATGATCCATTAAGACTCCTACAGCCATAGGGGGGCAAGGAAGGCAGCTGGGGGGGGGGGGGGGGGGCACTGTTAGTGGGATTGTGGTAATAAGCCATAAATCCAATGTTCAGTCCATGATTTTGTGTCTAGCAATGTTATGAATCTAAGGTCCTAGGCTCATCTTTTGGAAGTGTTGTGCAGGTTTCCTTTGAGAATGAGGACTGACAGGCCTCATAGAGTGACTGCTTTGAGCCTTTTTAACATTTTAGTTTAACATTTGGTTTTAACCAGTAGTCCTCATTTGGATCTTATGAGTTTGTCAGAGGAGGCAGTATATGGGAAACCACCTAATAAGAGCTGAAAGGAAAGATTTTATTAATATTAATCAGGACATTGCAAACCACCTGCCTCCTTTCCTGAAAAAGTCCTAACAGTTGGTGGCGGTTTGTTTTGTTTGGGGTGATTTTTCTCCTGGATGTTTACAGGGGGAGGGTAGCAGGCTGCTCATCCTGCCTTGGGGAATCTCTTCATTGAGGAGGGGTACTGATACTAGTACCTAGACTGTGGAAGTAGCTGGCTAGATGGCCCCAGGAGATTAAAAGGTTTCCTGCCTGCTCCCCAGGCTGTTTAACACTCAAGTACTGCAAGAGGGGTAGAGTTACTCAGGGCTTTACTCAGTAAATAAGGAGTCATTTTGAACATCGGAAGAGATTTCTCACTTACCCTTCTGTAATCCCCACAACGGTGCAGCTTTGTGGGGAGTGGAGTCTTTATGTGCCTCTGCTCTGGTCACAGACTGGCTGAAGTATGGAGCCAGCCTGTGGAGCAGGGGAAGGGGCGAGACCCCTGCCCGCCATTCAGACTCTGAGCACCTCTCCTTGGCTGTGCAAGCACTTACGGCTGATGATTAGCAGGCACAACTCCTCCCATCCTGCTGCTGCTGCCTGAAATCTGAGCCCCTTTCCCTGGCAAAGTGAGAGTCAGAAGGCACAATTCCCATTACACTGCAGCCTGAAGGAAAGGTCACAGAGGTGACTGGTTTCTCTGCATGTCCAGACATGCTGCAGGGTGGGGGAGGGGCGGTGAGCTTGATCGAAAACACTGAGAGACTCTCTGTGGAAGCAAAAAGCTCCAGCAAACAATCCCTCGATGGGGGAGGCGCAAGGAGAAGGGGTTTAACCCCTAGCTTGTTATCGCACTTGTTCATTAACAATACTCACTGCTGTCTTGCAAAGGTGACGCTTGCTTTTGCCATTTTGGGACTGGAGTTTACAAGACTTACCCCTAAGCATCACAAGAAGCTCCCAGTTCATAGTGAGAAGAAAGGGAGCTCTGTAGCAACCCTGCTTCTTTCCTCAGGGAGCTGAGGACCCCCTCAGTACCTGGGGGAAAGGCTGACTTCAGATCCTTTGACAGGTACTTCCCCACTCCAGCCAGAGTCTGTTTCAAGACTTATGCCCTGAATTGGCCAGATAGCATCCTCCTTGTCCTTAGACTCTCTTCTGGAAATGCTCAGAAGCTCCTGATGAGGTTTTTCTGCTTTGGAGTCATGGCTCTTCAGGGTGGGGGAAACCCAACATGCCAGTCTGACTCTGAGCTCCTTGGCCTGGCAACATGAGGGTCAGCTAGCTGTGAACAGTAGTCAGGCATAATTTATCCTCTCCAGAGACTTTAAATGCTGCCTCACATAGGGAACATTGCTTAGATTTAGCCCAGTATTTGCAGTGCAACACTTCTCTGCCCACATACTGGCATGAAGTCCTAAAGAGGACTACTGCTAGTGGCAGATCCAGGTAGTTGAAACAATCATGCTGCCAAATTCCTGATCCAGGAGGAAGAGAAAGATTATATATTGCTTTTGCACAAAAAATGAATGAAATTGAAGCTATATACCAAAACTGTCAGAAGAAATTTAACTGCCAACTTATACCACCGTTGGGGGGAGAAAATCTGGTGGCCTGAGCAGAAGGGCAGAGCTTAGTGCTGGAGCCTCCAAATTCCATGCGTGGGGGCATTAACCCATTAGTGATGAGTAAGTAGAGCAGCTGTGCAACAGAAATTGAGTGTGCTCCTACTAACTGCTCTGGATGCCTTCCATTTTAATGCTATGCAATGGCTCATAAAGGTGCGACACTGGGTACAACAACATTAGATTAACAAAATGTAGGACACCAGGTTCCACAAGAAACTGTCTTAGGAAAAGCATTTGTTCACTATGGGGACATTTACACTCCATTTATAAACTCTGAGAGATTAGTTAAGCAGGACAGCTGCTTGACCTTCCGTACCATCATAATGGCTGGCAGCACGAAAAACTTAAATTTACCATTTTTCTTCCAGTGACAGGTGATGTTGGTTGCCAAGCTTAAGCCATGTTACCAAATGAGTTATAACTACATCTGACTAGTTTAAAAGTTTTGTTTAGTGGATCTATCCTGAATTGCAGTCCTTAAAACTTTCATTAGACTACACAATCCGCATTATCTCAAGCAATAACACTATACATTAGATATTACTGATTAGACAATCAAGCTAAATAATTCATTTCATTTCAATAACTTATATTCTTCTCTTTGAGTTAACTCCTCCTTAAGAAATAAGGTGAGATACCAGATCAGAAACCCGAATCACGGAAATGCCTTTTGATTATAAGCACAAATTAGTTGTCTGTAGAAATACAGGCTGATTTTTGTCTTAGATTTTCAAGCAACATATTAGCAATGTAGCACCTTCATCCAAAATCTTCCTTGATTTCCCATGGGATGCAAGTTCATTTAATTCTCAATGTTTCTGTATATAAAACTTTCCCCATTAAAAGAAATAGCTTGAGACAACTTTAATTTCTTTTTCAACTGCATCACACTCTTAACTCTAATTGAAACCAGCTCTTTTCCACCTGCCTCTTGTCACAAATAACAGGCTCAACCCCAACAGGATATGTTTAGGAAAGTTCCCAGTGCCTCAAAGGGAAAGATCATGTCAGTCACAGCATGATACACAGATGATTCTGGAAAGCTTTTTTTTTTTTTTGTTCCCCCACCCAATCCTTCCTTCTTCTCCACTGGCCCATGGAAAATTATGAAGATCCTCTTTCTATTTTGTGAGCTTCATATTTGGTTGGTAAAATAATCACGCTCAAAAGCAACAGCATTGCATTGCAATTAGCCTTGCATTTATAGTCATATTTCACGTGATTATGCCAAGAGAATGTTACCAATTTTGATAGGTTTCAGAGTAGCAGCCATGTTAGTCTGTATTCGCAAAAAGAAAAGGAGTACTTGTGGCACCTTAGAGAATAACAAATTTATTTGAGCATAAGCTTTCGTCAGATACACAAGTACTCCTTTTCTTTTTACCAATTTTGATATAATTGATTAATTTATTCAGAATTAGACACCTCTGTCTTCCTGTCTGAGCTGTTGTTTATTGTATTTTAACAGCTCTTTGACAACAGTGGATAGGATTTCTTGACATTGTTTCAGTACCTAGTTGATAATCCTGACACTTGTAGCTAAAGGTTTAATGCATATCTTTAAAAATTGCTTTTGGAGAGCTTCAGATAAAATTGTATAATACAGCCACCACATGCCTATTACATATATCCTGTGCCCTTGCACCTCCCATACCTTGCTGGGAATACTCAGCACCCTCTAAGTATATACACATGATTAAAACTTACACTTCAGCAGTGCAGTCTTGAATTTGCATTTTGTGAGCAGGTGAGCATAGGTTTTTAAAGAAAGACAAGTTAAAGATTAAGTTATTGTGAAGTACTTTTCTACAATATGAGACTTCATGTACACAATTCTTTGTACTTAAAAGGGCCAAATGAAAGTTTTTCATTTAACTTTTTAAAAAATGATTGAGAACATGAGGGTCTTTTCAGTTTTTGCTCCCAAGAGCAAGGGGACATTTAAGTAACCTAGGCCTAGGGCTTGACCCACCTTGAAATTGCTATCTGATAGGAGAATTTTTTTAAACAATAGCATTAATGTACCAATAAAAATCTTAAATAGCCACTGCTAAAAAACTGTCACAGTTAATTCATATGACATTTGTAGCCTGGTGCTTGAGAGGCAGTCAGCAGAGGGAGCACAGATTCATTAAACCTTTGTTTTCAGGACTGTACAGAAGGCATCAAGGCGGTTTGTGAAAACAAAGCAAGCAAGCAAGAAAGCCTGTATTGCTTTGTGCTCCCATAAGATACAAGAGGTAAGTGGAGGAAATAAATCAATGTTTCCTAAATGGAATAAAATGGAGAGTAGAGAAATGTTAGTCTCAAGGCTCGAATCCAACAAATAATATTTGAACAGTTACTTGGAGTATATGTTAAACTTGTCAGGCAAGATTTTTTCAGCCTTCTGCACAGCAATGTGAATCTTTAAGGGTGGGGTTTCTTTATTACTAGAGTTTAAATATTTTGTTACACGGGGAAACACAGCAGAGAAAAGGTTGGGAAAGTTCAATCTAGATTTTTGTCATAGCATTTTCTTGGACATAAGGGCAATAGCCTGTGCCGAGTCAGACCAATAAAGGGGATCAACAAAGCAAGACTGACAACAACCGTCTTGAATTTATGTACAATAGTTTTTCATTCATAATTTTCCAAACTCCCTTTGATAACATTCTTTGTAGAGCAAGCATTTAAAAAAAAATCCCTTGAAATTTATAAACAGAACAGCAATATGTAAACTATCAAGTGGTAAAATCATAGACTAAAAAGGTATTTTTGCATTTCAGTAAGACCCATTTAGGAATTACAACAGAATCTTCTAGATTTACCATTTATCAAGCTCCGCAAATGAATGGTGGCAACATATATATATATTGCAATTTTATTTCATTCGCTCAAACAAAACAAAGTTAGCATGTAAGAAATTTAAAATGACACAAATATGGTAAAAATAGCAGAGAATGAACTGAAAACTAAAAAGGAGATAAACCTAAATGCATGAAAATTCAACATTCATTAGTGTTTCATCTTCAGTTTTGATTGACACTTGATGCTTGAAAACTTTTTTAAACAATGAACTTGAAATCATGACAACTATCTGAAGAGATTTCAGCACCAGCACTAAGATTTATACATTCAGTTTGTTTGCAACTGACTTGTTAGCCACTTGTGTATAGCACAGATTTATCACAGATCAGATCACAGTGTTGAGGAAAGCAATACCTTCCTGGAATTAGAAAGGATCTCCTAAACTGTACTCAGTTTCAGACATCCACTGTACAAAAGCACAGAACCATCATAATATGGTTTTTAAAGAACTTATTTCAACAGTGAGCAAAATAATCTTAGCTTCTGTAGTTCATTTTAATTACGGAAATCTCTGGCAATGGCATAACTGTCAGTATGACAGCAAGTGGTTACAGTAAGCTTTAATTCAATCAAATTTTCTGGAAAGGACCAATTCAGCAACATGAGATTATGTAAAGTATGTATGTAGAAACAGCCAAAAAAAAGACATCTGCTCTTCTTTCTTTTAAACAGAAATCATGTTAATTTTAGACCAAGGCACAAATGTTTAGTGCATAAACCAGGTTTCTTCCTCTCCCCCCGTCTGACAGTTTAATTGTTTATTACTACTTTGGACCACTTATTCCCATTACATTTCTAGCAGGCTACTCTTGAACTTCCTTAACAAACAAAATCAAACATGATTTCTGACAAGAATAAACTTTCTTAATGTTAAAATGTTTGCAAAAACAAAAGGTATCAAAGATGAAAATGCCTCCTTTTATTTTGAGCTTGCTGCAATTTGTTTAATGCCTTCACTAATGCATGAAGAAAGATGATCAGTTTTTGGAAAAATAATTATATACTGATTTAGGTAATATTTCCATTGTAGAACAAGTTTACAATTCGAGTCTCTATAGAAACAGGAACATGTTTAAACTGGAGAAAAATTCCTTCATTCAAGCCTTTCAGAAGCAGAAAGTGCTGTTGATTTGCTTTGGTTTCCAGCACTTAGGAGCATATGCCATTTAAAACTTTTGTTCTATAAATGGAGCTAAGTAAGCTGTAACACGAACAATGCCTCCAAAACCACAGGTAATTTTTTTTCTAATCAGCAGTATAGAAAAGCAAATATGGCACTATTACAGCTTGGAAAAATTCAAGATGCAATGAAAAAGTGCAGATTTTGATCCACAATATTTTCAAAGCATTACGGATCTGACTTGCAGGATTTTTATTCCACTGAATTTTATTAGTTTAAAATAAGATTTGCATATATGATTTGCATATATTGCACATATATGTGTTTTAACACATTTTTAAACCATGGGAAAGGGGAAAGTGTCATCTCCCCTGAAAAGTTCTCACGTTGTTCACTAAAGCTAATGCTGCCCCACTACTGTTCTTTTGCTTCCCTTTTTCTTTTTCTGCTGTGACCTTGTGCTCTAATGCTCCATCATAGCCCTTGCCCTTGTTTCCTCAGAGAGTCAAAAAGCAGCCTCAGAGAATACAGGAGCAGGTAATTGTTGTGCATCCTGTCCTACCACAGGTGCATCACTGGTAATCGCTGATAAATTTAAATCGACTTGGATTTTGACCAAGCTAAGAAATTAAACAGAAGTGAGATGGGAGTTTTAGAACCATTATTGAATCGGAAATACAAATAACTCAAGAAATGATACCAAAAGGATTAAGTACCTGGTTCTGTTAACATGGTTACTTATAAAAGTCACAAAATTTTCCTCATTATTACACATGCATGTAATATGAGGAAAAATAGTGCAGAAATTAATAAAAATAGTTTTAAACCGAAACTATCGCCTTCCCCTCCTCCCGCCCCAACTCTTTTCCTTGGCATTAATTAAGCCTTAAAAATGAAAAAGGCTACTTAATATTTATGACATGCAATGTTTTTTGTTTAATTAAAAAGCTGATTGTGTTGTGTTAACCTTAGAAAAATGTCCACATGCATAAATCTTAAAAAAAAAAAAAAAAAAAAAGCAGCCTGAAAATCTACAACATACTAATGATTTACTTTTGACCACTGGTTTGTATTATGTAGAAGTCTTAGATTTGGTAAAGCATTGTAACAATTTAGGAAGGCATCTACATCTCTGCTTGCTTTTTTGTTTACAAAATTGCATGAAGGCTAACTAGAGAGGCTTCCTATCCTAAAATTCCAAAAACTTGATATACCCTCGCTTTCTAGGTGATATCGCCCTTTAAAGCATACATTTCTAATTATTTCATATTTTGTGATATGAACTTACATATCTGCTCTTTGACGTTATTAATGGAAATATCAAATATGACAGGAAGACAAACCTGAGATACATTTGCAGTACAACAGGATAGCTTGCTAAATCCTTCATTAATAAAGAAAACCTCTCTGAAAAGCCTTCCCAAGCTTTTCTCCTTTTTTGTGTTAACAATGAATTCTGAAATATGTGCAATTTTATCTTGACATGAGAACATCTCAATGCACTGTGATCTTGTCTGACAAATGTGGGAATTTCTGCATAATCATTACAGTAACTTTTAAGACTCTTTTCCACCCTGTTGTAAAGGTCAGAAAAAAGCAGCAAACTAGGAAGGAAAAAGCATATCACCAGAGTGATGTGTCTGAAAGTTTTCAGAATGTCGTTTTCCCCTCCTTCCAAGTGTTCGTCTCCATTTTCTTCTAACAGCTCACAAAATGTAGTTGACTTTATACCAAGTGAAAGAGTCACATTGGCTTAGTCCTAGTCTTTCTATGCAGTATTTGACTTGCTCAGTTCTTGCCTGATTGCTGATTAGGGAAGAAAAAAGCATAAATTAACATTATATATCTTTAAAAAAAAATACACTTGCCTAGACTGACACGTCTGTCCTTTGAACAAAAAGTTCATCCTACCAGAAGCCACCTTGTTAAAAATATAGTATACTGGACATTAAGATTGTTTGACACCATGAAACAGAATTTAATTCTGACCCCAGATTACATCTTTTTTCTGGCATAAAATATTCTGATATTTGATACTTCAGTTTTGTTTCTCTGTCTCCACCCACACTACTATCTTTTTAATGGAATGAACCACAACCAGTACACGTGTCAGGAGGAGGATTTGGGTTCTATACCGACTTCCGCCATATTGTTTAAGTGGTCGCAGTATGTAGCATAGGTGACAAAGCAAGCAAAAACGGGAAGAAAAAAGAGGAGAGGGAACTCCTACATTAATGCATACAATAATTATTCATCCCAGTATTGAAAAATTAGTGTGGACCATGAGTAATTCCAGGGGCAAGTTAATGAGAGAAAGGAAAGAGAGATATCATTTGATTCATAAATATCTATAGAATCATCATTTCAATGGTGTCACCCGCTGCAGCATGAAGGGGGGGAGGGGGAGAAGGAGGAGGTCGTGTCACTGGCCCTTCCCCCACTACTTCCAACCTCTAGTTCCTCTGTTTTTTGGAAATTTTGATAATACAGTGTCATAGGAAACGGATTGCATTGGGTAACATTTAAAAGCCCTTTTCTCCCACAAAGATAGTGGCACCAAACAATACAAACTTAGAACAATGATGTAGATACATATTTGAGAAAATGTTTAAAAGCCAACTTTTTTTTAATACATGCATGTCAAACTTGCAGCCCTCACAAAGTTCAATTGTGGCCTTTGACTGACCGTACTGTGTTATCAGTTAATGCTCAGAACATGATACCTGATTAGTTTTTTTAGTGTTACAGATTACTATAAATGGAAGGAGTGCTTCAAGTTGATTTGCCATCATCTACAAAAAAGAAATGATTCAGAGGTATTGATCATCAGCTTTGTTTATTATGCCAAAGGAGTTGTAATGAGGCACTGATTGAACATCAGCATCCAGCCAGAAATTACTGGAATCCATCTGCAAATAGTATGTACACATTTGCATATCATACTTCACATCATATAATTAATTACAATCCTTAAGTAATTTATTACAAAATCCTCATTTTTACTTTGGTTTTGATCATTTTAGGCATCAACCAGTAGCTGAATTTGTGGAGAATAATATCACAGAAGACTGGTTAAACACACAATGCTTGGTGGCACTTTACATGCTATAAGAAGTGAACCAATATCATAGAAGATTAGGGTTGGAAAAGACCTCAGGAGATCATCCAGTCTAACTCCACATCTTTACAGTGATATGTGAAATTGGCTCCTTTGTTGATGGCACTGGCATTCCTGAGGCCCCAGGTATTTTGCATAGTGACAGTACTGTGAATCAAATTCTTAAAGGGAAAAAGTTGTGATATGCTATAAAAGAACACACCCAAGCACTTGCTGCCCTTAAAAAATGCTACCTAGATGTCTTCTTTGGAAAGCATAAAGATGTGTTTGAAGTCATTTCCCAAAGGGAACAGGACTTACGAGACCTGTTCCCTGCATCCAGTGTGCATTCCACTCTCAATGACCTATTGTGCACAAAGGAGAGCTTCAATATCACAGAACGGGTCAAGCAATTTGAAGAAGATGAGTCAGCGACAAAGCCAACTTTTGGGATGGTGCGGTGATACATTAAGATGGTTGAGTCTTTCCTGCTCTTTATTCCATCTGTCAGGACTGCTAATTGGAATTTGCACCTCACAGCACTAGAAGACTTAGTCAAATGCTTTTTTGATTTAGATTTAGCCACCTATTCGGCAATGATTGCCTGGTATCTCGCTGAAATAAGAGGTGTAGAAAAGTCTGACCCTGATATACGAGACGAATTTCTAAAAGGAAATTGGGATGTTTAAAGGTTGCCAGTTCCCTTCTGTTCAGTTGGTTCAGACAATGGCCCAGCACATGAAAAAGAGCAATGAAAGTCACTGGGGGAGTTGGTGGGCATAATAGCACCCACATGATCTTGTTTTTCCTGACAGGCCCAGAACTCATGTTTGACAGGTATGCAGAAGAATCATTAAAAATATTACCAGAGAGAAGAGACTCAGTAGTATTGTGCCTGTCCAAATCAAAATAATTGACTCCACGAACATCTTCAATGTCACAATGAAGCTACTATCTCATACTCACACAAACTGCACACCCTGCAGGAAAAACACTCCAGCATGCAAAGAATTACTCAAAGAATTTTGTCATTGCATGGTGTAATGAAGCTGCTGCCTTGCATCGTTCTGTGGAGTTTCTTCGTAGTTCCCATGAGGAGGCTGACGCTACCATTATTTTGCATGCTATCAGTGCCACAGAAACAGGTGCTCTGGAGCTCTGGATTTTTGCACAAGACATAGGTGTTGTGGTGCTCTCTGTCAGACCCTACCCAAGATTTCTGCAAGATTGTTTTAGAGCTTGCTGCTGGGGAACAAACTCACCATATATCCCCCAGCAATGTGTTCTTATCACTTGGACCACCAAAAGCCACCGCACTGCCAGGTTTCCATGCCCTTTCAGGATGTAACACTCCTGCAAGGCCTTTGGCTGGAAAGACCAAATTATTTTATTGGAAGGCATTCGATTCAGCTAAGGCTCTCTCCCTCACTCTGAAGATGCTCAGCACGGCTGACACAGTCACTGATGCGATCATAAATGCACTAGAGGAGTCCATATGCCAAATTTACCATTTGAAGACTAACATTACAACACTTTGAGTTACAAAGGGTGGATGCTTTCCAAGAAGCAGACAAATGGAAAAAAACTGCCACTGACAAGAGGTGCATTTACACCTGCTCCTGAATCAATCCTTCAGATAATCAAATGCTGGTATACAAAGGCCAGATGTTAACTGCCTTGTATAGAGATGTATGAGTGCGGCACAGACAAAGATCAGCCTGACAATGTGTGTAGCTGTTGTGCCCCCGATGGAGACAACACCAACAGTGACTTTGATGAATAAATGTTTTCAGTCCTACATGTCCAGGCTAACTTCCCTAGTATTAGCCAAGATCATTGTCATTTTTATGTAAGCAATGCAACCCTGTGTTAAACTATAATTAAAAAGGTAACTTTTAAACAGTTTCTTAAGCGTGTAGCTACATATTTATTATAGATGTGTCATGTTTTGTATCATTGTGTTAGTGGAAAAAGGGCTCTTGAATGATACCTAACTCTGTCCATTCCCAATGACAACATATCATCAAAATTTCCACCAATCAGAGGACCTGGACCTCGGAGCTGAGGGAAGGGAGTGAGTCTCCCCTGCTATGCTGCAGAGGGTGACACCACTGAAATTATGATGGCAGATTTTATGAATCAAATGATACCTCCTTTATCTTTCTATCACTAACTTGTCCCCAGAATGAGGTTTTCCTAAATTATACTCCCAGACTACATTCTATTTTCTCTATAATGTGAAAGTAGGCAACAATCACTCTGTTCAGGGCTGATTAACTCATTACTGGACACTTGGCAAACATACACAGATGCTGCTTGGTTTAAATGAAGCAAAATCTATGCACTAGGAGCCAGTCACTGACTGACTTGGATAGAAAAGGGTTAATTTACACCTCTCCTGTCCAGGTCAGTCAGCTATTAGCACCTGCTGCATGGATACTGTTCCATTAACCTCCAGGTGCCTGCCTCCCCAGGACTCTGAGTGGCCCCTCTCCCAGCTGGCTTCCCTGTCCAGCACCTGGATAATGGCAGCAAAGCTCCATCTGGTTCAGATACTGGCACAACAGCTAGCCCCTGACAGCCAGGAGGAGGAGCAGTGCTAGCTACCCCATTGACCATTAAGGTTTGGCCTCACCACCTCTCCATCATGACAGGGGGGCAGTAGGACTAAATTTAAATAATCAGCTTTGTGACCTGGTGAATGGGGTCACAGCACCACTCAGATTGTCTCTCCGTTATAACCCCCTGAATTGGGTCCTAGGTACATGGCTAAATTGCCTATTTCTTAATCAGGTCTTGACTCTGCTACTCTGATAATATTTATCATTAATCATTATAAAATATAGTGTCACCAGTACTGCCAACCCCAAATTTAAAACAAAAACTACGCCACCCTCCAAAAAAATTCTGAGCCTGGTTTTCAAATTATGAGATTAAAACAACAATTTTGGAGTTTTTTGTCTTTTGGTTTTTTGAGCTTTTAGGGGTCATGTTTTCAAACTCTCCCAAAATGAAGAGGGTTAGAAATCTACTTATTTTAAAATGAAAGCCGTGATTAATGTAAAATCCCACTTTCTTGAATCACGTGATTAAGAAAAACACCAAATATCAAGAATTATGATAAAATGTTGAAAGCAGTCATTAGTATAAAATGTCACAGGGTAAATACTGACTGTTTTGAAATATGTGCCTCAACTGCTCTGGCTTTTATTTTAAGTGGTACATTATTATATGACAATCTTGCCTTTCCTAAACTAAAGCAACATCATGAGATGGAAAACATCTGCAAGAAGGATCTTGCTCAATTTCTGCACCATCCATCCATCCACTTATAAAGACAGACATTGCTCAGCATCATTGCTCTATCCAAAAACCCTGCAGATAAGGTATAAAGTACCTGATTGTGCAAGAATCATCAAAACAAATTAGGATAAGTTAGTTTTTCTTTTACTATGTGGTAATGAGAAAAGGAGTGGACATTAGAAAGAGCAGTTCTATCATGAACTTGGCATTCTAGAATCCTCAGAATATAGACAGAATCTTAAAAATAAGTTTCCATTTCTACATCTTTTCAGCTTTAAGAAATGCTTATCCATTCCTTAAGACTTGGAAATCCAAAATATGTAGTGAATCAAGTTCATACTCACCATCAATGAGTTCTTCCTTTAATTTTGTTAATTCCTTTCTCATTTCATCTAAAATATCCTATGGTATCAGAATATAAGTAATAATAAATCAGTGTGGTTTAAACTTTCAGCTAAGAAAAAAATGAAAGTAATTCTAATTTTTGTTCATTTTGAAACATCTCAAACTTATATTCCAGTCTGTATCTATATCTTCAAAATTCACCCTTAAACTCCCTTACTATTAGTAAGTAATAAATATCCTTTTTAAAAAATATGCTTCCCAAATCTTATAATTGATTTCTATGGTACTTATCCCACCTGAGGTGGGAGGTATGTGAGTTACAAAGATTTATTGCACAAAATTCATGTTCTCTCACCACAAGTGGTGGCAATTTATGTAAAACTAGCAAGCATAGCTAGAACTACAATTGCCCTGCAGATAACATGTGAAAATACAAAAACAAACAAAAAGAGAACCTAGACCAACAAATTATTCTCAGTTACACAGATAAAAAGTAGAATCTGACAGTAGTGCTATCATAATGCCCCCTCTCATCTCTCTATCTTCTTTCCTATTGCTGATTTGATATTTTAGAGGATAGTCTGAAAATGCATTTAAATCCAGAGTGTGAAGGAATACAATTCTTGTGAAAATGTACTTTTCAACTTGGCATCATCGATAATCATTGAGAACAACAAAGAACCATCCAAAGGACTGCTGTCTTGCTAAAACTTTACCATTCTCCTCAATTGTTATTAAGATGGTACACTTTTTTGTTATAGCTGAAAATATTAAATCAAACACAATAATCATTATCAGTTAAAACAATCTTGAGACTATATTCCTGACTTTGCTATGTGTCATTGCAAAATTATAGCTAGTAGAAAGTATTTAACCAGATATAAAAAGAGTATCCTGGATTTAGGTTTGAAACTAGGCAAAGGTTAAAGTTTGGTATTTAATAAAGAACTGTTGAAAGTCTTTAAAAGTTCTGCTATTACCTATTCTGAAAAGGTTTCTATTGAAGGTACTATATACCTGCTTCAATCTGTCATAGTCTAGCCCTTCCGACTGTACTCCATTGGCACTGGTTTGCCCAGATGGTGTAGATTTTGGTCTGTAGAACATAAAAAAGAATCAATGTATTACAGGTCTCTAATTACTGTACTGTATGTAGGCTTATTACAAAGCAGACTCCCCCCCCCCCCAAAAAAAATTAATACGTTTTGTTTATAGTTACTATCTTCCAAGATTGTGATAAAAAATTAGAATGAAAAGAGGATTTATATAAAGATGTAGGCAGCCCCAGAGACACCAAAGCTGTACATACAGAATGGAAACCACCAGTAAAGGGCATTTTCCTGACATGGAAATATTAACTATTACATTAATATATAATGACAAGGTGGGTGAGGTAATATCTTTTATTGAACCAATTTCTGTTAGCAAAAGTAACAAGCTTTTGAGGTACGCAGAGCTGTTCTTCAGGTTAACAGGTACAACACTGCAAACAAATAATATATAATGAATTATTAGTTCAAAACAGGAACAATTGAAGAAGCAGAACTATTTTTGTCAGTGATATCTTATTTTCTCCTCCTAGAGCACATGAGAAAGGAAGAGCATCTCCTCTGAATTTATCTTGTAAACCCTTTATATATTTTTCTTTTTTAGTTTAACTTCTTACTCATTAAAAAGGGGCTTATGTCACAATGACCTTTCCCCTCTGATTAAAGAAGGCAGTATGCTGACCCTGCTACAATGTAATACATGGTGTGCCTCCAAAAAGAGTGCTGGATTGATCTATTCAAAACATGCTTGCAAACTGTGTGAACCAGATGATTTGAACATTTACAGAAATTACTAGTTTGGAAGTTGTAACACATTTCTGATGCATGTAATCTTTTTCCTTTAAATCACCTACAAATTTGTTTGCAGAAGACTATGCCACATTTTAAAAATGTTCTGCATGCAGAGCTAACATTCTTAAGTAAACAAGCTACATAGGAGGTTTTCAATAAGATCTCCACATTTGTATTTTCTGCCCTCTTCCATCCATGTAGTGTACATCGCTCACACTTGGGAACATAGATACTTGCTGCAGATATCTCCATGTCTCAGGAAATGTTTGCCTGATGGGTTGGTGTGGTACATTCAAGGGATGAAAGTTTTGAAAATAAAATCCAACCACCTTCCTTGAAAATTATGCATTAACTTTCCCTGGATTCCTGAACACTTTTGAGACTTTATAGAAATTCCTGTGTAGTAGCATACCCAGGATCTCAGGCCTTGCAGTAAATTGGCTCACATGCGCCTTGATTTAGGTAGGCTACACATGCCTTGGAGAGTTCAGTAGACTCTGTATACGACCCTCAGAGTGGTATGGGAGAGAGGGGTAGATGCCTGAAGCAGCCATCCCCTGCCCTCCTCTCTACCTGTGCTGCTACCCAGAATGGTCCACTCCTCTTGTCTAGTTTACCTGTTGAGTATTCTAAATAAAATTGTGGCCACTCTGCCAAAGATTCCTGATGTTTGTCTCTCTTCACATTTACCCCACAACATTGAACAACTTAAGCATTCATGTTCAGTTTTGGTGTATTAATTACTTTTGAAATCCTTTTTTCTTCTAACACCTTGCCTCTGCATCATTCTGGGACCATTTTTTTAAACCACATGCTTCTGTTTGCAGTGTGATTAAGTTTACAGTTGATTTCAAAATTTGTTTTCTTTATGTTAGAATTAACCTGGTATTATGGTAAAGAATCTCTCTAGTGGGGTAGGAGGAAGCAGGTTATCTTTCACTGTCTGTCTGACTGCACTGCTCTGAATAGAAAGGTAGAGCAAGGCTGCAGTTTTTGGCTTTGGAACTTTTACATAAGAGAAACACTTAAAAAACAAACAAACTGTGTTTCTCCTAGCTTTTGTCATCTCAAGATGAAGCTTTATTTACTGAAACAAGGGACGTCTGTGACTGGGAGCAGAAGCCAGTGTGGGGACACAGCTCAGCAACGAATGTCCCATCCCATGCAGGATATATAACATGGCCTCAGTTCTTCCCACAGCTCCATAAACACAAAGCAGAAAATTTAAGAGTCATTAAAAATAAATTGATAAAGAGAAATGGGGGCTTGTCATATCTCCCTCCTTTTAATGTCTTCTCTTCCTTCCTTTGTCTTACCATCTAGCTAATCCCTTTACATTTAGCCAAACTCAGGAAAGCTGTATCCCTCCCCCCACACCCGCAACCTCCACAGAAACGAACGGAAAAATATCATGGAACTAATACCATGCTTGCAATCCATCATTATTTTCATGATGTATCCTTTTTCCTTACAGCCTAAACAGAAAAGGCAGACAAAGGGTAAATTCTTTGGGACATGGACTGTCTATTACACTATGTTTTTACAATGCTTAGAACAGTGGGTCCCATTCCTGGTTAACCTCTAAGTGCTACCTAAGTTGATAGAAATCTCTCTGGAAAATATTTCTAACAGCAGGAGAAAAACTTTATCACTTCCCACCCCAGCTTTTCAGTTGGACTGGTACTGTACACTCAGCTACCAGATAAGCTTTTTCCGATATTACAGAAACTTTTCTAACTGGTGTGATTCCAGACAGAACATGGGCTTTCCCCTGCACTATGTTCTAGGCTTGTGGTGTATGCAAAAGGATATTAATTGAAAAACAAATCTGAGATACAAGAGTTAAGATTTTTTTCCAACCAATTTATAAAAGCCTATCTGAAAAACTTGACACCCAAAATACACGTTTATGCCCATAGTGTAATCCTGGAGAGGAGACACTTGAAACTAATATGCCTGAGGGTTTGTTTACACTAGAAACGCTACAGCAGCACAAATGCAGCTGCACTGTTGTAGCGTCATTACAGTTATGGAAGGGTTCTTTTGTCACTGTAGTAAATTCACCTCTGCAAGATGTGGTAGCTAGGTCGATGGAAGAATTCTTCCATCGACCTACAGGTGTCTGTACCAGAGCTTAGGTTGGTTTAACTACACTGCACAGGGTATGAAATTTTTCACAGCTCTAAGTGATGTAGTTAAGATGACCTAGCTGCAGTGTAGAATAGCCCTGAGGCTGTTCACCTTTTCTAGAAAGCAAAATCCTCACTGCAGATTGAAGAATCCAGTATTTTATTTTAGTAGTTTCATGGGTAATATGAAGGAAAAATACCTTCTCAAATGATCTGAATCAGAGCAAATTGAAATAAAAGTTGATCCAAGGATTTTAAGCTAAACTGGGAGCCAATACGATGTTAGAATATGTGGAAAGTTAAATTGTACAGTGGAAGTAACTGAAAACTACAGTTCACCTTGCACCCCACAGAACTACTACACAGTTTGTGCTAATGCTATGAAGCCAAGTCACAGTTCAAAGTCTGTTGTATAATCTTTAGATACTGAACTCTACTATATTTCCAGATTAAAAAAACTCCTTGTTTGAAACTTACAGTTTCACCACAAATCTGCAAATACTGTTGAAAATGAACACAGAAGCTGGTAACTAAATGTCCGAGGGACACATTTTACTAACAGAATGTAAGCATTATTTTTGTTTTCACACAGGTAGTTTTCCATATACCAAGAGTTCTTCTATATACTCCATTAATGTCCCGTCAGTCCCTGAGGATTTCCATCAAGTCTCATTTAACTGTTCCCACTCTCAGTGTCTTGATTTAAAACCCTGAGTGGGAAAATGGGAGCTACTCTTCCAGAACCAGCAGTGTGGTTGCTGACTAATGACAATAGGAACAAAGTACATACAAACACAGACTGCTTATGGTTTAGAACTTTAAAAAACATTCGCAAAAAGAAAAGGAGTACTTGTGGCACCTTAGAGACTAACCAATTTATTTGAGCATGAGCTTTCGTGAGCTACAGCTCACTTCATCAGTGAGCTGTAGCTCACGAAAGCTCATGCTCAAATAAATTGGTTAGTCTCTAAGGTGCCACAAGTACTCCTTTTCTTTTTGCGAATACAGACTACCACGGCTGTTCCTCTGAAACCTTAAAAAACATTGCCAGTGTTTGCACTCCTATTCACGTTTCCTGTCAACATTACAATCATAATTTGTCTGAGAATTGGAAAGGAAAGGGTCTATAGACAAACCTAAATTCTGCTACTCAGGGTGAAGACATATTAAAGAAAGTATTAAAATTATATGCTTTTCCTTCATGGACGCGTTGGTCTCTTGCAATAAAGGAATTTTGTTCTATCAACCCCATCAACTCTAATTTCCTTCGGAATATATTTTTAAAAATTTCAGTCAAATCTAAAGTTTCCGCTTACAGTATTTGGTACCCTTCATTTCTCACAGCTGCACTTGTAGGTGGCTACTGATACTGCCAAGAGAAACTACTATCTAATGAAAACACAGCCTCCAAAACATCTCAACCATGAAGTTCTGAGATTGCTACTGAGCTCTCCCATGTGGCGATTCATAGCATTACCAACCAAGACTGTGAGCCAACTATAATACGCAATAAGAGAACTTGATTTAAACATGCAAGATAAAGATTTGACTCATGCTAACATGCAAAATACCACCACCAAAGATAATTAGATAATGGGGGAACTTTTCATACAAAAGAATAGGTAGTCACCACAGTGTTTGCTTTCATGAAAAAGACATTAGCAAAAACAATTTTTAAAAAGTTGAGAAGTTTGTCAGTAATTTTCTAGATTGTACCACACTTTTTTTTTTAAGTGAAAACTATGTAAATCCTGTACCATTCTGTCCAGAAATATATTTAGTCTTTTTTAAGTACTTTCTTAAGGCACTTTCTTTAAAAACAATTTAACCCTTTGAACACTGGCATTTTAAAAACTGCTAAATTAGTTGCTTTGGATGCCAGATGCATAGTTTCACCTCCCCCCCACAAGGTTTAAAATATGCTCAGAATTACACAATCACAATTCTGCAATTGTCTTTGCAACATAAACATGCTAATATGTTGAATGATCAGGGTATGCATTTAACATGTCCTTTCTTATAAAGAAGGATCTTTTAGACATTTATGTTAGACAAAATCTATTCAGTGAGCAGATCACTGTTACTGTATGATGAACAGCAACTATTCTTTTAGCTGGGGATACCAGTTGTGAAATACAGTCTGGGATGAAATACATTCTCGGGAAGTTAGTAGCTAGATGATTCTATGTGCCAATCTTACTACTTTGAAAAACCGTAGCTTCTCAGGCTTGGTCTACACTAGACAGGGGGATCGATCTAAGTTACGCAACTTCAGTTACGTGAGTAACATAGCTGAAGTCGACGTACTTAGACTTACTCACCGCGGTGTCTTCACTGCGGTGAGTCGACTGCTGCTGCTCCCCTGTCGACTCTGCCTGCGCCTCTCGTGGCGGTGGAGTACAGGAGTCGACGGGAGAGCGCTCGGAGGTCGATTTATCGCATCTAGATTAGATGCGATAAATCGACCACTGCTGGATTGATCGGTGCCCGCTGTTCCAGCGGGTAATATAGACATACCCTCAGGACATTACACCTTGATAAGGTGCTCTTGAGACTGTAATCAGACACAGAGTTATACTGTAATCCACATGTTTAATTACTGTATAATTGAGATATTTTATATAAGTGAAATTAGAAGTTGCATGGAGTTACTTTACAATGAGATCTATTTTTGACTATAGGACTGTTCTCTGGGTCACTATTGATCAGATGTTGAGTTATTTTAAATTGCATGGGAAAACATGGTACATTCTGCAATTGGGGATGAAAAGAAATTCTACTGCACCCAAGCAGCATGATATACATCTTAAGCACCTTATTTTGAACTGATAGCAGATAAACTGCCTTGCACTTAAAATTACCAGTGAAGCTACCTATCTTTAAGGATTATGAAAATGGATACAATTATAACCGAAGGAAAGACGGACAAACTGTTAAGAGGAGCTTTATGTCAGTGGTTCTCAACCAGCGGTCCAAGGCCCCTTGGGGGGCCGAGAGCAGTTTTCATGGGGGCTGCCACATATGGCGGGCATTAGAATCGCTAGGGCCTAGGGCAGAAAGCCAAAGCCCCACTGCAAGGGACTGCAGCCCAGGACCCTGAGCTCCACCACCCAAGGCTGAAGCTGAAGCCCGAGCAACTTAGCTTTGCTCTGCTCCCTGTGATGTGGGGGCCCAAACAATTGCCCTGCTTCCTACCCCTTAATGTCAGCGCTGGCTTTTATATGCAGAAAAACAGTTATTGTGACTGCCATGGCATTTTTATTGCATGTTTGGGGGGGGGGGGGGGGGGGGGGGGCTCAGAAAGAAAAAGGTTGAGAACCCCTGCTTTATATCATTTGTGTTTGTGGTGATTACCGATCCATGTAGAAAAGCCCAGCCCTGTTCTGTCAAGTTGATTAATTAAAAAAAAAATCTCAAATCCTAACAGGATGATACCTGTTTAATGAATCATAGGACCTGTTTTCAGAAACAATCAGATTTTTCCACGGAGACTCCCGTCTATGAAGGGGGAAAAACACTAACTTAGGCTATATTAGAGCTAGGTTATATGCAGTTTTAGAAAATGAGTTATATTATAGTTTAATTACTATACCAATTAAATCCTGAACACTAAAGGAAAGGATACTTAAGTCATTTAGAAGCCTAATTTTAAATAGGATAAGTAGGTATTTTATTTATTTTGCACATTTACTATGAATACTAACCTCCCTGTTGAGTCTCCTTGCTTAGTTATTCTGAAAAGAAAAAATCCTGCTTTACTTGTCAATTTTTCAGACATGTCCAACAATCCTCATATGCAACTTATGTCTTCTCTACATATATTAGAGGGAGATTTCAGCAGGGCTTAGCCGGAAGGAGACTCCTACTACCTGTAAATTGAGCTTTGGTGACAAAGCATTAAACAGTCTGGACCAAGGTACTCTAAGCAGCCGTGCTCACTGACTAACTAGGGACAGAAAGGCCTTTACAAAGACAGTTCTCAGCATACGTCTTTGCTAAGAAACAGACATCAAGCTTTCAGTGGCTTGTAAGGTATGAAAGGACCTTCTTGTGGCAACCTTAACACACATTCTATCGAAGCTTTTCCCCCTCAGCCCATGAAGCATCCACGGCCAATGTTGATGGGGGAAGAGGGTCTTGGCCATGGATGCTTCATGGGCTGAGGGGATAAAGTAAGACCTTTATCCGCTTGGATCTGCTGTTGCTAGAAAAAATAACTTTTCTGTTATACCTTTCCAGGTGACAAATATGGAGTCCTTGTTTGACTGGATGAGTTCTACATAAATACAACTAAAAGGCTCTGACTCATTCAAACTATGCCAAAATCTCTCCTTGGAGGATTTAGAAGATGGGCAAAATCTTGGTGGGGCAGTTTCCTGCTATGAAAGAAGACTCAGACTTGTGAATAAATACTTGGAAACAGCTTTATTCTTACAGAAGGTCATAAAACATTCTTAACAGGAGATGGCAGCTCTCTGGCTCATCTGACTGAAATAATCATGATGATAAAGGCTTTTTAAAAAGAAGATAGTGCAAAAGTTATGACTATAGAGGCAGGTGGAAGAGGTTATTTAACTGGAGGTTCTTCTAGATGTGTAGTCCCTATCTGTATTCCACTGAGGGTTTACACATGTACACCATGAGCCTGGAGTCAGAGAATTGAAAAGTAGTAGTGTCTGTTGGTCTGTGCACATGCCCTGAACTTGCCTCATGGTTTCGTCCAAGGTTATAAAGGGAGGAGCGGACTGACTGTGTCTCCAATTCCTTCTCCACTGCAAATCAACAGAACTGCAACAGAGGAGAAGGAGAGAAGTGGACTACAGACAGGGACCACACACCTCAAAAAACCTCCAGTTACAGATAAGTAACCTCTTCCTCTTCGAGTGATAGTCCCTATTGTATTCCATTGAGGGCAACCAGCAAGCAGTACTTAAGTTGGAAGAGGGTGCAAGTATGTAGATGGGAGAGATGAGTGGAGGACAGCTGCACTGAAAGAGGCATCTGCCACTGAGACTTCCACCAAGGCAGGGGTAGGCAAAATTTTTGGCCCTAGGGCCACATTGGGTACAGAAATTGTATGGAGGGCCAGGCAGGGAAGGCTGGGGGAGGCTATGCCTCCCCAAACAGCAAGACGTGGCCTGGCCCCTATCCAGCCTCCCGGAACCCCCACCCTCATCCAACCCCCCTGCTCCCCAACCCCTGACTGCCCACCAGGACTCCCACATCCTATCCAAAAACCCCTGCTCTCTGCCCCCTGACCATCCCCCTGGGACGCCCATCCCCTATCCAATCCCCACTGCTCCCCACCCCCTGACGCCCCCTTAGGCCCCCCGACCCCTACCCAACCCTCCCCCTGCTTTCCCCGCCCCACATTACCTGTGGGGTGGGGGAAAGCAGGGGCTCAGTCCTTTCGCTGTGCATTTCCCCTGCTCCTTTGGCTGCTCTCCCTGGCAGTCAGGCAGGGCTCGGTCCCTGTCTGGGCTTGGCTGCTGGGGACAGGGGCCAAGCAAACTTGGGGCTGAGGGGGCCCTGGCTTGCTCTGCCCCTGTTCCCGGCAGCAGGGCCCAGGCCCCTTAACCTCCCCACTGCAACCTCCCCTGCTCAAATTTCCCCGTTCCCCACCCCCTGACCGCGCCACCCTAGAGCACCAGGTCTGGTGGTGCTGTAGCCGTACTGCCTGGCCGGAGCTGCAGCCACGCTGCCCAGGCTCTGGGGGAACTGTGACTGCGAGGGTGGGAGGGAAGGGGCCAGAAGCTAGCCTCCACCTCACTGCACTGCCGAGGAGTTGGGCTGGCACCTCCTCAAGCCTGTCCTGACCCCACTCCCTGGCAGGAGCTCGGGGGCCAGAGAATAGGGTTCTGCGAGCCGGATGTGGCCTGTGGGCTGTAGTTTGCCCCCCTCTGCACCAAGGCATAATGAGTAGTGAAGGTGTGAACCAAATTCCATGTGGCCACTCTACATATATCCTGAAGTGGCATGTCATAGAGGGAGGCCATGGTTGCAGCATGGGCTCTTGCTGAGTGGGTCCACACATCGAGGGTGGCTGCTGCCCCTTATCTCTTTCAGCTATTGCAATAAACAGAGCTCTCCTGATCGGTTTTATCCTGTGTAAGTAGAAAGCTAAGGCCCTACAGACACCTAGGGAGTGGAGTCTGTTACTCTTCCAAAGCAAGCAGTTTTGGGAAGAAAACAGGTAAGTGGGTAGGTTGATTAATGTGAAATTGTGAGACTACCACCTTTGACAGAAGTTTGGAATGCAGAGGCGAGGATATTTTTATCAGTACAGAACGTCGTGAAACGAGAGCCCGCCATCATGGCCCCAGGTTCGCCAACTCTTCCTGCTGACATGATAACCACCAAGAAGGCGACTTTCAGGGAAAGGAGAGACGGTGAACAATGCCAGCAGATCAAAGGGTGGTTTTATTAACATAGATAGGATCAGGTTGAGATCCCATTGGGGACCAACGGGTTGTACAGGTGAAAAGATTCTAATGAGGCCCTTCCAAAACAGGTGAGTAAAGATGGAATGCCCCTCCGCCAGGGAGCAAAAGGCACTAATTGCTGATAGGTGGACTTTGATACAACTAAGGGCAAGACCCCATGCCTTCAAGGACAAGAGGCAGTCTAGGAGGAGGGGAATCCCCACCATTTCTGGGGAAAGTCCTTTGTTTTCTGCCCAGCAGGTGAAGTGTGTCCACTTGGCTTGGTCACCACGCCTGGTCGAGTCCTTCCTGCTGCTGCAAAGGATATTTTGTACTTGTGATGAACATGCCCATTCTAGATAAGATGCCCGTCCAAATACCAAGCTCTGAGGTGAAGTGCTGTGGACTGAGATGGCTGATGCTGCCATTGTGTTGTGTCAGTAGATCAGGCAGGGGAATTGGGGGGCATGGATACATGTGAAGGAAGTTGGGAAAACAAAACTGTCTGGACCAGTGCAGGGCGATCAGGATGACCGTCGCTTTGTCCAGTTTTATTTTGGGCAGTACCCACAGTAGGAGCGGGAGAGGAGGGAAGGCATAATTGAATTGATCAGACTGGGGAGGATGAGGGCATCGCTCTGAGAGTGCTGCCCCAGAACCTTCTTGAGCAACATACACTGCATTTTCTGTTCACTGAGAACATAAAGAGGTCTCTGATCGGAGTTCCCCACCAGTTGAAGATGGCCCATAGTACATCGTCACGGAGTTCACGCTGGTGATCAATCACAAACTGTGTGCTGAGTGAGTCCACAATCACATTCAGTGTCCCTGCGAGACAGGCTGCAGACAAGATGATCTTGTTGATGCACCAGTTCCAAAAGGTGACTGCTTTTAAGAGCAGAGCCAGCAACCTCACACCCCCTTGTTTGTTGATGTAGGAACACCGTTGTGGATTGTCCAATATGAAGAGACTATGATAGGAATGAATGATGGGGAGAAAAGCCTGGAATGCCTTTCTTGCAGCTCAGAGATTCAGAATATTGATGTACATTCTGGATTCCCGAGAGGCCCACATTCCCTGAGTCATGTGTCCATCCATATGTGCTCTTCAGGCTAGAAGGGAGGAGTCTGTGACAACAGTCTTTTCCAGGAATGGAGGCAGAAAGGGAACTACTACACAGACCTGACAAGGTTCCTTCCATCTCTGGAGGGATGAGAATACCTTGGGGGGAAATGTGAGCCTGAGGTCCATGGTGTGATGAATTGGCAAGCAAACTTTCTGGAGCCACATTTGGAGGCAACGAAGGTGAGGACGAGCAAAGGTGGTGACGTACATATACAAGGCCATGTGATCCAGGAGGGAGAGGCATGTCCTGGCTGTGACTGACAAATTGTCGGTTACACAAGTTATGAGTTCTTGCACAGTCTGGAATCTTGCCCTGTGGTAGGTAGGCTCAAATCATGACTGAGTTGATGGTGGCCCTATGAAGTCTAGGCATTGTGCAGGTTTAAAGGTGTACTTTTCAGTATTGATACTGACCTTAAGAGAGGAAAGGAGGCCCAGCAACATAGAGGTTGAGGCCCAAGCTTCTTGTCTGGACTGTGCTGCCAGGAGCCAATTGTCGAGATACGGGAATACAAGGACCTCACAATGTCTTATGTGGGCTGCCACCTTGGTGAACACACTGGGAGGCATAGTGAAAACTCTGTAATGGAAATGTTCTGTGTCAACTATAAACCTCAGGAACTGTCTGTGGTTTGGATGAACGTCTATGTGAAAGTAGGTGTCCCGCATATTGAGAACCTTAAACCACATGCCTTTTTCTAATGAAGGGATGACTGCTGCTAATGTAACCATCCGAAACCTTGGTTTTCAAATGAACCGATTGAGAAGACGAAGGTCCAGGATAGGCCTCCATCAGCCCTTTTTCTTGGGTATGCAGAAGTAAGCTGAACAGATGTTTCATGATATTCTGGAGGAATAAGCTCTGTTGCTCCTCACTGTAGTAAGGAGCAGACCTCTTAGGTTCTGATGCTGTTGTGAAAGTGGTCCATGGAAAGGGATTGGGATGGGGGCTGTGGATGATGTAGCATGCTGAACTTGATGGTATAGACATGATGGATGACATTTAGCACCAATTTGTCCATTGTTATTGCACTCCAAGCTGGAAAGAAGAGTGCTGGACAACCCCTGAAGGGGATGGAGTGCTCTTATGACAGTAAGTATTATAGTTGACAGATCTCTAGGAGTTCTTCAGAAATATCATTTCTGTGGTGGTTGTGTCTGGGAGGAGGAAGACTGCGAAGATGGTCCTGGAGGGCGCAATCTGAGAGCTTTCTGACTCTTGCATGGTGGTTCATAGGGCCTCTGATGGAAGAACTGCATGGTCCCTAGTATTGTGGAGGTGGGCGATGGAACTGGCACTTTGGTGCAGGCACGGAAATGCCCAGGGAAGGCAGTGTAGCTCTGGAATCCTTGAGAGTGTGTAGGGAATCATCTGTTTTTTCTGGTTAAAAAGATGGGATTCATTGAAAGGGAGGTCTTCAATGGTATTTTGTTTCTCCCTGGGGAAACCAAAGGTGTTGAGCCATAATGTCTGTCGCATAACTATACCCGTGGCTATGGACCATGAAGAAGGATCCACTGCATCCATAGCGGATTGAAGCTAAGTCCTCACCACCAGTTTACCCTCGTCTATGATCGCTGGGAAATGGGCCCGATCTGGCTGTGGTAGTTTTTCAGCAAATTCGTCCAGTTCACAGTAGATTAGGAAATCATATTTGGTGAGCAATGCCTGGTAGTTTGAGATTCTGAACTGAAGACTTGCCGATAACAATACCTTACAGTCCAATCTCTTTCCCTCCTTATCTGATGGAGTGGAGCGTGGATACTTCCTTGGAATACTCCATCACCACTTGGACCACAAGACAGGGAGGGAAGTATGAAAACGGAAACTCAGACCCCTTAGCAGGCACGTAATACCGCTTCTCAGCCCCTTTGTGAGTAGATCTACATGTGGCCTGTGTGCGCCAAATTGTCCTCGCAGGCTCAAGTATAGTCATTGATGGGTAGCACTACTCTACCCAGTGCTGATGAATGATGGATGTGCAGGAGCTGGTGTCGGTTATCCTGTACCTCCTCTGGTAGATTTGAAGCTCCCCTGCAACCCTCTTTAGGAGATCCTGAAACTGAAAGAAGTTATCGGGGGTGAAAGAGATGCCGAAGCAAGTGTTGCATTCGGAGAGGAAGACGGAAATCTGCTCTGTCGATACCATTGGAACTGGGCTAAGCGGTTCTTCCTCTCTCACCAGTTCTCAGCATCTGCTGGAAGGTGCATTGGACAGGAAAATTGGAGAGATCTCCCTTGCTGAACATGTGGGTCAAATGGCTGGTATTGTGGCTAAGATCTCCAATATGGTTAGTATGATGGATCCTTAGGGTGTTTTGGAGGATGCCTTGGTGTGGGAAACCAATGGCTCCGAGGCAGCTGCAGCTGAGGATAATGCCACAGTGCAGATGGCTTCCTGTAGTAGTCCTGGTGGTGGTATGTGATGGATGGCCTTGACCCTCATCTAACTCAACTGAAGATGAGAACTTGGAGACAGGTTCCATAGGCGGTACTGTCAGAACTGGCAGAAGTGTGTGTACAACTAGAGCGGGAGATGAATGATGACCAAGAAGGAAGGCGGGCAGGAGGCACGGATTTTAAAGCTGGGGATCTTCAGCATAGTCCAGTATCTGCACATGAATATGGTGGGGGGGGGAGGGGGAGTTGGAGACAAAAACAGGCCCCCAAACTAACTATTCTATTAAAATTACTAGAAACTACCTAAAGACAACAATAAAAATCTGTAAAAATTAACTGTATAAAAGGTTGCTTGAGAAAGTGCATCACAAGCAAATGGACACTAATTGTTCCAACCTGGACCATGCGGCAGTGAGACAGAACTGGGAGATGCAGTCTGTCTGCCCTGCCCTTTATCACTTTGGATAAAACCATGAGGCCAGTTCAGCATGCATGTGCAGACCAATTGACACTTCTATTTTTAAATTCTCTAGCTCTGTATGCACGGTGAGCCAGATGCATGGTGCACATGTGTAAACCCTCAGCATAATACAGTAGCTTATGCTTATGCTCAAATAAATTGGTTAGTCTCTAAGGTGCCACAAGTACTCCTTTTCTTTTTGCGAATACAGACTAACATGGCTGTTACTCTGATACAGTAGGTACCATCACTCAAAGAACACCAAAGATTTTAAAACCAAGTTTAGATTCCACAGATGGACCACAAGGTTAAACTTGGTTTCAGGCAAGATACAGCACTAACAAAACATCTCATATAGAAATGAACTTGTGTTATGAACTTTTCCATTTTCCTTCTGATTGCTCCAAGAATGGAAATTTATCCTTGAAGGATGGTTGGTCATTGGTTATGAAAGCATGTGTCCCAGAGACCATTGTTTAAAATAGCAGTTCCCAAACTGTGGGTCAGGAACCCAAAGTGGGTCACAACCCCTTTGAATGCAGTCACCATGGCTGTCTTAGAGTTGCTGAAGCCTAAGACCCACTGCCCAGGGCCAAAGCAGGACTCAGGTTGCAGGCCGCCGGCCTGCTGAAGCCCTTGATCTACAGCTTTGTCCCCCCCCACCCAGGGCAGTGGGGCTTGGGTGGGCTCAGGCTTCGGTCCCCCTGCTGGGGTTGTGAAGTCATTTTTGTTGTCAGAAGGGGGTCGCGGTGCAATGAAGTTTGAGAGCCCCTGGTTTAAAAGTTCAGACAACAAAATATGGTGGAATGCCTTCTGGATTCCAAAATAGAATCCCTCATACAAATAGCATTTTGTGACTAAAATCTCCCACAACTGCCAGGCTGTCAGTTGTAAGCTGGACAGACCTGGTGAAAAAGAGGTCTCTGTTGCAGCACATACTGCCTGATGTGAAAAGACACAGGCAAATAAGGCAGCCATCTGACCAGGCTAGGTTAGTGTGGCATCATATGGCACAGCACTTAACTTCAGATAGTATTTGCATTAGAAGTGACAGAAAACAAAGCACTTGTCCTGTAGTAGGAACAGAGAAGTCAACTGCTAGAGCCTGCCTAGTTCTTGGAAATTAGAAAAAAGGTGCTAACAAGCTGATTGTGCTTGGTGCTGCTTTCATTTTCAAGCACAAGATCTATGGGGATGAGAATATTTTGCTAGTGACAGAAATGTGGCATTCAGCTACAGCAGGGGTGGGCAAGCTTTTTGGCCCAAGGGCCACATCTGGATGGAGAAATTGCTTGCAGGGACAGGGCAGGGGGTTGGAGTTCGGGGGCGGAGTGCGGGAGGGGGTGCAGTGTGCAGGAAGGGGCTCTGGGCAAGGGGTTAGGGCAGAGGAAGGGGCTCAAGGAAGGGGGTTAGGGTGCAGGAGTGGTGTGGAGTGCAGGAGGGGGCTCAGATCAGGGGGTTGAGGTGCAGGAGGGGTGCAGGATGCAGGAGGTTGGGGTGCAGGAGAGGTGCGGGGTGCGGCAGAGGGCTCAGGGCGGGGAGTTGGGGTGCAGGAGGGGTGCGTGGCACAGGCAAGGGGTTTAGGGAAGGGAGTTGGGATGCAGGAGGGGTTCAGGCTCGTGTTTCCCTCATCTGTGGGTACCTCCCCTGAAGGTCTCATTGGCCGTGGTACCCCGTTCCTGGTCAATGGGAGTTTTGAGGGAGGTACCCACAGGCAAGAGCAGTGTGCGGAGCTCTCTGCCCTCCCCACCTCCACGGGCTGCAGGGACATGGTGTGGCCGCTTCCCGGAGCGGCGCAGAGCCCGTGGTGGTGGCAATCCCACGGGCTGGATCCAAAGCCCCGAGGGGCCATATCCAGCCCGCAGGCCGTAGTTTGCCTACCCCTGAACTAAGGGATCTATGTTTGATTATTTTTTCTCCCTCTCTGTGTCGTTATCACCAAACTGTCCTTTCAAATTTTAACAACAAGAATCTCTCATTATATTTGAAAGAGAACATTTTCCTCAGGGTTAAATCGAGAATCTGGCTGTCTTTTTTTTAGATCCTCACATGGTATTTCTCAAGGGAAAAAAAAATTATGTTAGACTAACTAAGAAATTTCTCAATCAGAGTTCCTCAGCACACTTGTATGCAGGACATACAGGATCATATATTGAACAATTCCTTGTTTTTTACCTTATGGACAAATATATGCATTTTAGGATCTTTATGGGAGCATTAGTTAAGCAATTTATCCCAAAAGGTAGAATGGCTATCCTGGCCATTTCTCTGTCAGCTCTGTTATCTAACTAGGCACTGACGTTCTGTCTGAGGTATTAGCAAAGAATTGGGTAGTGTGCTGAAGGATCTTTCTTTGCTGTATCCCTCAGGATGATGTTGGCCCAAACACATTGCTTAAGGTTGTCATGAGAATCAGATTTGGGTGAGATCATCAGGCTTTTGCCTAAATACCTAGTTGGGTATGTATATTTCAAATCATCATAATACAGAGGGACTAGGCTGTTAGGCAGATTCATCTGCTGTTGAATGCATGAATGAAATCTCTTACCTGCCTTTAGTGAGAGGACAACTCATGTTTAAGGATTGAGGGACATGCATCTTGAATGGAAAACAAAATGTTTCCATAACCAAAGTTATACCACAATCAGCGAAGTTGTACTTTGGTATTTGTTAATAAGATTCTACTTTGTTTAGCATTTTGCATTCATTCATCAATCCTCCTCAAAACTCAATATGAATATTCCTATACCCATAAAAACATTAGAAATGAAATCTTTTCAGCTGCCTTATTTATGATAGTTAGATGGTATTTATTATTTTTATTCTAATAATTTTTATGCACAATGAGTAATGACAATGCTACACATCTGAGAAAGATAAGTACTGGTTTAAAAAGCAGCGTACCTGGAGATAACAGGAGACTTGCTTCCATTCACTGTATTTGTTCTTTCCCAAGGTTTCCTTGTTAGTTCTTTAGATATATAAATAAAATTGTTAGACACACCAGCTTTCATATTCATTCATCACTGTAACAATGCATATGAAGTAACTTCAGGTAGCTTTGACTTAAGATATTTAACTTTTACCATCTTGCATTCTTTATTAAAATTAAACCACCACCTGGAAAACTATTATCTTTTTATTTTTTTTTTTAAATCAGCTACACTACGTGTAGCGCGGGTAGCACCTAACTGCCTGAATCACAGATAAGGGCCCTACTGAGCTAGGCGTAGAAACACATAATAAAAAGATGGCCCCTGCCACAAAGAGCTTAAAATCTATAGTTTAACTATTTCATTCCTTCAGATATGAAAGATGATTTCATTATGTTGTAATATCTGTGTTCATGGGTATTATGGAATAATATTAGATTTTTCAAGTTGGCAAAGTTCTCTGTTTTGAGTTGTGAACATGTCTTTCAAAAGCTGCTTATGATCAGTTCAATAGAATTGGAGAAAGGATAACATGCCTCCATAGGGCTTGAATATTTTCCATCAATGAAAAAGTGTATTGCACTGTGTATTGTACTAAAAGGAATATAAGTTTCTCAAGTGCCTTTAAACCTCTAATGTTGGTAATAATGTATTGTTTTGTCTTTGATATGAAATAAAGTGAGACCTAAAAGTAATTAAAAAGTATATTGATTTAGCTAACAAGTACAAGTCAAATCAGCATGGCCTACTAGATAGGGCATTAGTTGGATTAGGAGAAAGTTTCTGTCCCTGGTTCTTCCACTGGCCTGCTGCATGATGTCATTTCACCTCTCTGTACCTCTGTTTCCCCTCACACCTTCTGTCTTGTCTATTTAGATTAAACTCTTTAGGGCAAGGACTGTTTTACTCTGTCTTTGTATAGCACATTGTGCAAGAGGGCCATAATATCGGCTGGGGCCTCTAAGTGTTACTCTAACAATCACCTCTTTAGATTCATTGTATTCATATTAATGTTGAAAGCTAGCCCATATATATTCAAGTTCTGTGCTCCACCTAGTGGAGTGTGTTTTCAGTTCTATTAGAAATTCTCTAAGAAGTTTTGGCTCACTACCTTGAGTCACCTACAGCAATCTAGAGACAAATACGGGTACATGATCATGGGCAATGAGATGCACTTCTGTCCAACAGTTCAGAATGACTGCGTAAGTCACTGGCAGGGTACAGCCAAGAATCAGCTATTAGTGATTAACTGCAACAAATAAAAGTCCATTTCTCTGTCTAGAGTCCCGTTGTAGTAGTTATATATCAGAGGAGGAACCATGCTGCAGAGATATTAGAGGTATACACTTTAATAATATAAGTTTAGAGATATTAGTATACAAGTATACTTTGTCAAGGTACAATAACAACTGCTAATAGTCCAGGTCTGACCAAGGTAATCTATTTTTTTTTCCCCCATTTGAACTCCTATCCCTGCCAGTGTTCTGTGATTGTTGTCAAGCAATTTGCTTGATAGCCTTCTTCTCTGTTCCCTGCCAGTTGCCTCTTAACTCCCACACACACAACTCAGTGGGTCCCTGCACTAAGCCAGGAGTTCTGGGGAAAGTTCTTTTGGTGTATTTCACCTGCTCTTCCCAGGTGGTACGAGATGTTTGTACTACTACTGGATAGCAACAGAGACTTAGCCATTCAATGGCAGCATACATGAGGTTTTGATTAGGGGATAAAAACCAGATGGCAAATTTAGTACAGTCTACATTTACAGCTTTCTCCCCACATATTACTATTATATCAACGACCGTCTATCCTGCAAACACATTGCCATTAGCCTTTGTTAATTTTTTAAAACTTTGAATCCAGTTCAAGAGTTTGCAGCTGTACATTTCATGTGAAGTTTTACATTTAGCTGTGTATGGTAAATGCCAGACAACAAACCCATTTAAAAATCGCATGACTTTGTTCACCTCAACTTTGTTCAAAGACTGTGTACTCTCTATATTAAGGCTATCAGTGGATTTGTGGACAGTAACGTAAGAGAAAATAGTTAAGACTAACTATAAATGGGGATAATTTGAGCCTTAGACAAATTATCACCAAAGAATAAAAACAAGATTTATTTTTAACCAACAGGAGAGTGGGTTTGTGGTGGGGAGGGGGGAGGAGGAGGCGTGGGGAGAAAACCTGGATTTGTGCTGGAAATGGCCCAACTTGATTATCATACACATTGTACGGAGAAAAGGAGTACTTGTAGCACCTTAGAGACTAACCAATTTATTTGAGCATGAGCTTTCGTGAGCTACAGCTCACTTCATCAGATGAGCACGAAAGCTCATGCTCAAATAAATTGGTTAGTCTCTAAGGTGCTACAAGTACTCCTTTTCTTTTTGCGAATACAGACTAACACGGCTGTTACTCTGAAACCTGTCATTGTAAGGAGAGTGATCACTTTAGATAAGCTATTACCAGCAGGAGAGTGGGGTGGGTGGAGAGAAAACCTTTTGTAGTGGTAAACACTCATTTTTTCAAGGTTTGTGTGTATAAAAAGATCTTCTGTACTTTCCACAGTCTGCATCCGATGAAGTGAGCTGTAGCTCACGAAAGCTTATGCTCAGATAAATTGGTTAGTCTCTAAGGTGCCACAAATACTCCTTTTCTTTTTGCGAATACAGACTAATACGGCTGTTACTCTGAAACCACCCATTTTTAACTACTGATCATACTAAGATACTTATGTTATTTCATTTTCATTATAAAACACTCAGGATTATGAATTCTGATACCATAACAAAACAGTTTTTAATAAAACTTCAGCACTAACACTTAAAGGGAATTTTGAAAAGTTAAAGTGTACTTCACAGATTTATACTACCTACCAGGTGTGCTTGTTGAAGAAGGCTTGGAAGTTGAAGGCTCTGATTCTTCCTGATTAAAATGAAGAGAAAAAACTTTAGAATCCTGCAAATCTGGTCAGATTGATGTAAACTTGTTTAATGGAATTGTTTAAATATTTATAGCTAAATCTTTTTCAGGCAGTTAATGAACTCTGTTCACATAAAATCTCACTAGAAAGTACAGAAGAAATTTGCAAGAACTAAATTGAACATTTAAGACAACCCCATTGTACTTGTACCCTTTGAAAAAAATGGAGGTTATATTTCCCATTAAGGCAAGCTGTAAATGAGCTGTAATTTGAACCACTAGAATAGCTTTCTTATATGGCCTTATATTAAATAATTCAAAGCACACAAAATAATAATCAATTTACAGTTTTATCCTCTTTCTGCTCTGGTTCTGTTGATCCCTTTTCAGCAATTCTTCTCCTAAAAGACAGAAACGTGAGTTAAGAATGAAAGGTAGATGGCTAAAGTTATTGAAGTTATAGCTACAAAATGGAAAATATTTGTTCAGTATTGTTAAAGGCATACACAACTTGAAATCTAGATCAACTTAAAAACAGTAAAAAGCAGTTTCAAGTATACACTTTCCACTGAGTCTTCTAGCCAACAATTGTGGTTTTGCAACCACATTTTCCTATTTAAAATGTTGGTTTTTGCTCCCACCCTGCTGAGCAAAAGACATACACAGAGGAAAGTAGCTACTTGACTATTCACGAGTGAAAATAAAATTGACTATACACAAAGTACTATGAAACGCACAAAGGAAAAATATTTCTGTAATTTTTCAGTTGTAGTTTACAATAGTAGGTACACTCTATGACAGAGGTACGATTTTTAAGTTTGCAGTATCCCTTTAAGATTACTATGAAACCATCATACAATCTACAGCTCTATAAGAATAAAATTATCTGTTTACCTCCTGGCCAGGAGGGCACTCATTTCTTCCATTAATCCACTGCCTCCCAAGGGAAGTGGTCCATTTCCACGAACAGTGTCTGTTTTAGATGAAGCTCCTCCACTTGAACTAGAAGACTCTTCACTCTTTATGACAGTACACAAAATAATAATATATTTGAGAACTATTTAATAACTTCATGATTTTATATTCATGCAGAAAACTACTAACGTAACATACTACAAAATCATCTGGGCATAAAATACAGCTTCAATGAATACACCTAACAACACTGCTTTAATTAGTCAAGTTGCTCTTTGGGTAGACCTATTCCTGCTATTCAAGTTATTAATATATGTTAGTAGAAATTATTCCAAAATTACCCTCATAGAATTTAGAAGTGTAAGTCACAGACAAATCCAGATTTACATTTACCCGTGACACTTTCCTAAGTTTGGCTCCAGCGAGTGCAGCTGCTAGTCCAGTTAAAGGGCGACTGTCTTCAGACATAGATCCCATAGAAAATCCAGAGGTAGGGAGAGGAGGGGCAGGAGGTGGAGGAGGAACAGGAGGAGGAACTTGGCTAGGAAGAGGAGGCGGTGGCGGTGGCCCTGAGGGTGGAAGTGGAGGTGGTGGTGGAGGACCTGGGGGAGGTGGGATTGCTGCTGAAGACTGGGCTGGGCCAGGAGGTAGTGGAGGTGGGGGTGGAGGTGCAGGTGGTCCTTGGATGACACCTATTTGAAACGAAAAACAACATTAAGAATTAAGACTAGCTGGATTTCCATTGAAATAAGGGCTTTTCTTCTTAATACATACTAAGAAAAAAATGTCTTCCTAAATTAACTAGAAAAATATTTTGTCTTGTTTAAACACAGAAAAAATAATCCACCTTCGGGGAAAACAAGCTTTTAAAATACATTAATAGTCACTATACTGTACATAATACTGTGGAAGAGAACAGGTTAGCTAACAGAATCCTTAGACATGCAACACAATGACACTAGTCAGTCTTTTCACTATAACAAAAAAACTGCTACATAAACAGAAAAGTGGGTAGAATTTTTAAAGAAAACCAATAAGGAACAACACAAGCACTACAAATTGTAAGAGAAAAACACTCCTTCACCTGATAACTCAGAATGAGTCTTGGCTCAAATGCAAACCTAAAATGGAATGTTACTTTACTAGCAGGCGCTCCCACTCCACCCAAACTTTTAAAAAAACCTTTTAAACGTTATTGTTCAACTGAAAGTTCTGAAACTTGGCTTCTAGACTTACATAAATACATCTTATCTGTAAATATTGCAGAACTCAACTCTAATTATTAAATACAAAATACATTAGTGAGTTAGAGAATTGTTATTCTTGTAAGATAGAGTTTAGAGGGAGAGCACCTGTTTTTAATTTTGTGAAAAAATACATTTCATACGACTCCTTTAATTCTGTAAATTCAGAATTATACACAGTATGTTTTGAGGAAGAGCATTGTTTAAGTATTACTACAAATGCAAAAAAGAGTTTATTCCATGAGCACAAACAAGCAACGGTATATGAAACTGTAACTTAATTTTTTTTCACTTTTTCTGATTATTATAAAATGGTCTTAATAAATTATTGGAGTGGAAGATAATCATCCAACTTAATAAATTTAAGAGCTTGACTTCACATAAAAGTTGCACCAGTTTAGCTAAAATTAGTATTTAGTTTAACTGGTGCAGACATATACATGGATACTCAAATCTTTTTAATCCTTGTTTATGTCAACTTAAAACCTGTTACTTGTTTACTTGAATTATTTTAAACTAGGTTTATATCAAATTAAGAGCATGCACAAGCTTTTGCATCACTGTAACTAGAATTTAGAACTAATTTTAGCTAAAGTGGTGTGACTATGTGTAGATCTTGTCTAGCACATGAGTGTGTGTATTCACAAATTCACACAGTCCAGATATATCTTGTAGTAATTACATACATATAGCTAAAACTTGAACTACCTCATAAGTATCAGTAAATGGTTCGGATTACTTTTCACTAAGACCAACTCTCACATTCAAAGCTCCATCATATGCTCCTTGGTTCACACTGCAATTAGGAATTTACTCCTACTACCTAGTTTTAGGGAATTCTAAATAAACTAATGATGCAGAATTCATCAAATCATCACGACTCAAATGATTCTTGAAAAATAAGACCCAACGATTCTAGATATGTATTTTATATCTTTCACAGAGCATATTATCCCAACTCTTCTTTTCAGAGCTTTATAATATCCCCTATCATCCCTTCAAAAACTGTATTTTGTTGCAGTATTAAGATCACTGCTATGTTCAAAAGTGTTTTATTAAGTCAAGACACTTAAAGGTTTTGATGCAAATTGGTTTTGGGTCCATTTCTGATTAGTTAATTAGTAGCAATAACAGAAAGCCTTACCCTGCTGGGTCGGAGGTTCAATCAGCTGAGAGGCTGCCTGCAAGACTGGCTCAGAAGCAGAGGAGTCTCCCAGCACAGAGTTTAGAGAGTTCTCAACAGAGGCAGGGGTAGCTGCAGAGGGAGAAGGGAGAACACTAGGCTTGGATGAGGGAGTTGAGGCATTAGGGGAGCTAGGAGAAGGCGAAGTTTGAGGTCCAGAGAGTGAGACAGGTGGAAAGGAAGGCAGTGGTGGTGGAGGTGGTGGCGGCGGCGGCAGCGGCGTTGGACCTGAGGTAGAAGGTGAAGGAACTGAGTAAGTTACAGACTCAGGAAGCCCATTGGGAGGAGGAGGAGACTGGGGCATTTGGGACACAGAACTAGAAGCAGAAATTGGGAGGACAGGTCTTGGACCAGTAGCTTTGCCCGGTGGGCTGCTGATCATTACTGGAGGAGATGGGGGAAGTGGTGCAAAACTGGGAGCAGACCAGACAATGGACTTTGTATTTGGGGGCAAAGAAGTTGGGGCATTCACAGGAGAAGGTGGCTGAGAATTTTTGTTCAGAGGACGAGGAACTGTAGCATAATGGGGAAGAACAGGGTGGAAGGCTGAGCCTAAAGATGTAGCAAAACGTGATGCGGAATGCCTTAGTGGCGGTGTAGGGGGAGTGGAAGTCGGTGGTGCAGAGGTCACTACAGCGTAATCCGGAGTGGAATCTGACCCTGGTGCTGATATTGCTTTTGCATATGATGGAGGAGGTGCTGAAGGAGGCTGGCAACTGGAGTATTCAGGAAGTGGTGTGCTAAACAGGGAGTTGTCGAAAGATGAAGCTGGACAGAAGATGGAAAGCAGCAGCAAAGGCAGGATAAAAAAGGAGAGAGAGAAAAAGGGAGCTAATGAAGCAACAAAATCAGCATTCAAACAAAATGTATAAATGTAGACTATAGTTAGTACCAGAGGATTAGGCACAAGTGAAAATACTGTTAGGAAAGTTTTTACATACTATAAAAATCTACTTTTGATTTCATCAACTATTTTTGTGCCAACATTTGAATTTACAAGCACATTCTGGAAATCTAAAGAAATATGGCATAAGTTCTCAAATTCCATTAGTGAAATGGATCAGGCAACACGATTTATTAACTGGTCCTTCCATATCAGCTTTATCTTTGGTTGGTTGCAACTCAAGTGTAGTGATCTTAACATTCATTTTAATTTCACCAATAAAACTAACATATAGGCAGTAAGTAAACCTGATTCTTCCCCTCCCCAGAATAGGGAGATCACTCCACACGAGTAAAAATATTCAAAGCGTAACACAAAAAAACAATACTTTCTTCTCAAGCAATTTGTTTTACATTAGATAGTTTAGTTTCAACAGCAGTTGATTTCTCAACAGCAGTTGATTTCTCACATGCACTAAGTTAAGTAATTAATTAAGAAATGCTTAACTATATGTCTCATTACATCAGAAAACAAAGTTAGATCCTGGCTTATTTTTGGATCCTAGCTTGTTGCAGATAGTTTACTACAGGTTATATCTACTGATATATGAAAAACTGATATCTTAATACAAACCATATTAATTGATAAATAAGACTCTTGGTGAGATATCTGCCTTGCAATGTTACCAAGCTGGCTTATGCATGTGCACACTTACAGAGTGTACAGATTCTCTTAAGCCAATGGTGTCATTATCAGAATACATAAAAACGTATATGGTCTTGCTTAATTGATCAAAGTAGACTAGAAAGTACTTAGAAACTTTAATCTTCAAATGGTCATGTCTTCAGGTGCCAACAAATTCAAAAACCTTTTGTGCAATTAGAAAATACAGTGAACAATAAGCACCATTTACCCATTTTATTTCAGTTACTGGAAATTATGACAATTCTAGAGAAAAGGATGTTCTCCTGAGGTCAGACATCCAGAATTATTATAGTTAAAAAAAAGAAGCTAATCCTAGAAAAATCAAGAAATATGCAATTGAGAAACAGTTTTTTTTTGTCTTCACATAAATACTTACTGTCAACTCTGCCCTGTCCCACTCCATTGACCAAACACAAACAATCAAGCCAGTACTTGAATACATTCAGTTTTGAAATTCTTACCAGCATTTGAAATTCTTCTCTCTCTCTCCCACTCCAGTTGTTCCCTTTCTAATTGTTCCTGGCGTTCTCTTTCTTGTCTTTCCCGTTCAAGTCGTTCAAGTCTCTCTCGATCTTGCCTCTCCCTTTCTTGTCTCTCCCTTTCTAGGCGTTCTTGCCGCTCCCTTTCTTGCCGCTCTCTCTCCAACTGCTCCTGTTCTAGTCGCTCTCTCTCAAGTCTTTCCCTTTCTAGTCTCTCTCTCTCCAGCCTCTCCCGTTCCATTCTCTCACGATCCAGCCTCTCCCGTTCAAGCTCCTTCTGCCGTTGTTGCTCTTGCAACTGTCTGCAATAGAGAAAACAAGGGAAAGGTTAAACTGGAGAAAAGATGCATGAGTACTATTAAGTAACAAAATATGTGCAAATCTGCTTTGCCATTGAAGTTTTTTGTGAGCTCATTTGCCTAAGGCTCCTGTTGTAAAAGGTCTTGACTAAGATAAAAAGGTGGTTTTTAGAACATGTTGGCTAGCATGTGCTAAATCTATAGTAATAGCTGATGTTTTACATATGCTTAAGTACAACTTGTCTTGTCCACATTAGTTTTAGAATGAGAATGAGTGGCAGCTAACACACCTTTTTCCTGGTTAAGACAAGTCCTTAACGACTGCACTCTGTGTTCCATTTTACAATAATTAACTTTGTTTGCTGGCTAAATTTTTCTGAGCTCTTAGTTAAGTTCTGTGTCCATATTTGTTCAGATCCCTGAATGCTGGACCATGTTTTTATAAAACAAAAACAGATTAATGAAAATTTCCTATTAGAATCTAATAAGACAAAAAGCCTTGGATTTCAATCATATATTTAAGAAAGCATTACAATAGCACACTGAGACACACAAATAAGATGACTTATGATGGGACTAAAATTCCACACTATTAAGATTAGAAGGCAGGGATTGCTTAGAGGTGCTCCAGACTGAAATTTGATGAAGATGAATCAGTCATGGTGCGGTGATACATTAAGATGGTTGAGTCTTTGCTGTTCTTTATTTGGTCAGTCAGAACTGCTAATTGGAATTTGCACCTCGCAGCACTAGAACACTTTCTGAAATACCGTTTTTTTGCTGTCAATTTAACCAACTATGCTGCAATGACAGCCTGGTACCTCATTGAAATAAGAAGCGTAGAAAAGTCTGACCCTGACATATGGGAGGAATTTCAAAAAGGAAACTAGATTGTTAAAAGCTCCTTTCTGTGCAGTTGGTGCAGATAAAGCCCTAGAACATGAAAACAGAGCAATGAAACTCTGGGGGGGGGGGGGGGGGGGTCATTTTTTGCTCATCTCCTCGTCACGTCCAGACCACAGAGTGATGTTGAACTATGAGACTTCGGGAGAGTACAAGTGCTTTGTGGCACCACAATTGATGTTTGTATTCAATGGAACTGTTCAAATGTGCCAGGCAAAAAACAATCTAATGTACATCTCGCATGATCTTCCTACACCAGCATCTACTGGCAACATGACCAGTACCTTATACCTGCATAAGCGTAGCAATCATAGATGGTATGGCTGAGGTACAAACTCTTGACAAACCAGAAACTATTAACTCCTGCTGAGATATGGCTGAACACTTCATGATGAGGCTACAGAGAAAATACTGAATATATGACTAATTCCACCTTGTGTTTGACACATATGCACAGGAACTGATTAAAAATATTGCCAGAGAGAAGAGACTCATGGTACAGTGGAGTTGCATCTTATGCAGGGGTTAGGTTCTAAAGTTAGCGCGTAAGGCGAAAATTGCATATAGTCAAATTACCCTTGAAAATCCCTTAAATAGCCCATACAGTACAGTATACTGTACATGGTTTTATGTATACAACCCTGTACAGTAATATGTATAATGTATACAGTAATGTACAGTACATAATAAAGAGTACATATGCAAAATAGAATTTTACAGTACTGTATTTTTAATTACAGGGGGGTAATTACAGGGGTTCATCAGGGCTTGATGTCGATCCAGGAGACGGAGGTGATGGAGAGCTTGGGTGACGGAAAGCGAGTCGTAGACAAAGTGGTTGGCTCTGGTTCAGCTCGAGAAATTGATTGCATAGGCTCATCTGCTGCTGGTTGTTTTTCCTTGAAAAACACAGTGATCGGCAACTGTCGCTGTTGTCTCGAGCTGCTCAAACATTTCTTGATACGGTCTCAAATCATCCGTAATACTAGGTTTGATTTTGAGGCTTTGTTCCATAGAGGGATTGTATTCAGAAATTAAATCATTCAAGTGTTTTGCTGCTTGGAACAACTCAGCAAATTTATGAAGATTCCAACTTGCTGGCTCTTCCTGTTTGTTGTCGTCATCTTCGTCTTCTGTAGACGATTTTATCAGTTCCTCCAACTCTTTGTTAGTTAATGTTTCCCTATGGCTCTCAATTACTTCTTCAATTTCTTCCTCAAGGATGTCGACTAAGCCATCACCACCCACTTGCCTGGCCGCCTCAACAATGTGTTTCACTTCTTTGTCAACAGTCAGGAAACCCTTAAAATCATTCACACATACTTTCCATAGGTTTCACCAACATCCATTGACTGTTTCAGGCTTGATTGCATCCATTGCCTGTTTAATATAAGTGATGCAATCAGCAATGCTGAAGGACTTCTAACACTCTATCACATTAAGGCCTGGTCTACATGGGGACGGGGGGGGGAATCAAAGATATGCAACTTCATCTACAAGAATAGCGTAGCTGAAGTCAACGTATCTTCGATCGACTTAGAATCAACTACTCTGCGTCCTCGGGGCGCGGGATCGACGGCGGCCGCTCCCCTGTTGACTCCGCTTCCGCCTCTCACCATGGTGGAGTTCCGGAGTCGACGGCAGAGCGATCGGGGAATCGATTTATCGTGTCTACACCAGGCGCGATAAATCGATCCCCGATAGATCGATCACTACCTGCCAATCCGGCGGGTAGTGTAGACATGGCCTAAGATTGGGATCAGCATCCATAGTGCTATGTATCTGTGAGAACGTAAGCCTCGTATACGTGGCCTTGAAACAGCGAATCACACCTTGGTCGACAGGCTGGAGGTGGTATGGGGGGGGGGGAGAAAGATGACTTCAATGTTATTATGCGCAAACTGCAGGGTGGCCAGGAGCATTGTCTATGATCAGCAACCCTTTAAAGTCAACTCCTTTCTCTTTGAGGTACCGCTTGACCTCCGGAATGAAACGCTTGTGAAACCAATCCAGAAATAATGCTGCCGTTACCAAAGCCTTTTTATTTGATTGCCAGAACACAGAAAGGAGATTTTTGTTCTTGCCTTTTAGGGCACGGGGATTTGCAGCCCTGTAGAGCAAGCCCAGCTTTATTAAATGCCCAGCCGCATTGCCACAAAAACAACACTGTCACATGGTCTTTAGCTGCTTTGAAGCCAGGGGCTTGTCTTTCTGATTTCGAAGTGTAAGTGCGGTTGGGCTTTTTTTCCCCCCCACCCCAAAGAGCCCAGTCTCATCAGCATTAAAAACTTGTTCCAGAAGATAGCCCTTTTCTTCTATGATTTTCTTTAATTGTTTGGGGTAGGCTTTTGCTGCCTCTTCATTGGCAGATGCAGCTTCACCAGTAATCTGCACGTTTTTGAGGTTGAAGCAGTTCCTAAAACTGTTAAGCCAACCTTGGCTGCCTTTGAATTCCTTCTCATCAGAAGGCTGTCCCTCTTCGGCAGGAGGTTTGAACAGCGCATAGAGGCTGAGAGCCTTTTCTTGCAATGTGTTGCCACCGATAGGCACATGTTTACGGTTCATGTCTTCCAGCCATAAGTTTAATGCCTTTTCAGTCTTCACTAAAGTCTTATCATGCACCTGGCTCGTCACCTTAGCAGTTATTGGAGCACTTGATGCCAGGGCTTGATGAATTTCTCTCTCGAATCTTGATGGCAAGGATGCTAGATTCGTTGTGGCTATATTTACGCACCACGCTAGAGACCAACATACCGTCTCTCAGTAAGTCCAACACAGCCAGTTTTTCCTCCAGCGTTCGAACAGATCGCTGTTTCTTTGGTTGAGCACCAGATGAAGTAGTTGGCTTGCGTTTAGGGGCCAAGTTACACGAAAAATATGTACAATATCTTTAAACACTAGAATCACACTCAGCGTGGCGAGATGCTCACACTATGAGAGGCATGTGGGAACTGAGACCGACTGAGGGAACAGCAGATTCATGTCTCCCATCTCATGCTCACTCCGGGGCATACGTTCATTGAGTGGAATGGTGGGCGGAATCACTCACACTATTTCCAGTATCTTGTTATTTTTCTTTCTTTCTTTCTTTTTTCTTTTTTTGCCAAGAACGTATAGTTGAATTTGCGTAAATTAAATGCGCATATGATGCGGCTCACCTGTATTGTACTTGTCCAAACCAAAATAACTGACTCCACAAATATCTCCATACTTGTCTGATACTTGCACAAAGGACAAGTTAACCACATATTTTTCAGGAAAAATGCTTCAACATGCAAGGGGTTATCTGAAGAATTCTGTCATTGCATGGAGTAACGAAGCTGCTGCCTTGCACTGTTCAATGGAGTTTCTTCGTAGTACTCATGAGGAAGCGGACACTAAAATTTTCTTGCATGCCAATGCCATCAGTGCTAGGGAGATGCTACTGAACTCTGGATTTATGCAGTGCTCTCCGAGAGACTCTACCCAAGATTTCCACAAGATTCTGTTTTTATGCCTGCAGCTGGGTAATAGACTCGCCATATCTCTCTGAGATGTGTTCCTATCACTCAGATCATCAAAAGCCACCGCACTGCCAGGTTTCCATACCTTTTCAAGATGTGATACTACTGGAAGATTGGATGGAAAGACCAAATGATCTTACTGGAAGCCATTTGATTCAATCTTTGAAGACTCTGACCCTCAATCTGAAGAGGCCCAGAATGGCTGAGACAGTCACTGATGAAGTCATAAATGCACTAGAGGAGTCCATATGCCAAGTTTACCATTTGAAGACCAACATTACAACACTTGCAGAGTTATACTGGAGGACATTTTCCAGGAAGCTGACAAATGGAAAAAAATTGCCATTGACAAAGAGTGCATTTATACCTGCTAGTGAGAGGGCAAATTATCAAGCAATGGAATGGATCTGGGATGAGCAAGCACATCCAAAACTACTGTCCTCTATCAGTCTTGGAGGATGGACTGATCACACCAGTTGTGTGTGAAATATTACCTGCTCCAGAATCAATCCTTCAGCTAATCAAATGCTTGTGTGCAAAACCACCCTGCAAATGATTGGCCAGCAGCCTATCTTGTATGGAGATATGTGAGTGCAG